CCCCCAAAGAGTTTTCGAACCCACCAAATCTATGAAAAGCCTAAATATGACGCAATGAGGTGACGAACGTCAAGCCTCGACCATTGGCTTGGAGGAGTTGAAGATTTAACGAAGCTAACAATGTACAAACCTGTTACCCAGACTCGACGCTGTATTGCATGCACTCAAACACGCGCCATCGTGGTCTCTGATTCGAGAACTGACAGAACCACGGCCTGGCGAACATCCCCGGCAACCGGAATTTTCACAGCCTCTGGTCACGGCCCTACAGATTTGCATCGTCGATATTCTAATGAGGTGGGATATCCGGCCTCGAAGCGTCGTTGGACACTCCTCGGGCGAAATTGCTGCTGCATATGCTGCCGGGCTCCTGGATCGAGCCAGCGCCATCACGGCAGCTTACTACCGCGGTAAAGCTGCTACCCTTGGTAAAGTGGACTTTGAGAGTAAGATGGGCATGCTAGCAGTGGCAACTGGTGCCGATGAAGCCACTGGTTTCCTTCAACACTATACTGGGCAGGCCTGGATCGCATGCTTCAACAGCCCAAACAGCGTGACCATTTCGGGCAAGTTAAGTGCTCTTGAAGCACTTTGTGCTGATATCTCCAGTGCCGGGCACTTTGCTAGGCTATTGCACGTCGACATGGCCTATCACACAGAGTTGATGGATGCCATTAGCGGTGAATATGAGAACCTCCTAAACTCGGAAAGGCGGTTTCAAGCCTTCTCTTTCAGCACCGTTGGAGAGGTATCCATGTTCTCGTCAGTGACGGAGTCGAAACAAACAACGCCGACATCCGCGGCATATTGGAAGCAAAATATGTCTTCTGCAGTTCGTTTTGACAGCGCACTTCGAGCCATGTTATCCGACAGAGACACGGCCCCTAACTTCCTGGTCGAGATTGGTCCTTCGGGGGCTCTCGCCGGACCAGTCTCTCAGGTACTAAAGTCCATGCGATCTACGGTTGGAGGGGAGATCTCCTATTGCTCAGCTTGGTCCCGAGGAGCAAACGCTGGAAACTCACTGTTTGCTGTTGCTGGTCGTCTTTGGGCAGCAGGCAACGCTATTGACCTTGCCGTTGTCAATGAGTATAACGGGACAGAGCGAACCATCGTTGATCTTCCCAACTATAGCTGGGATCACAGCGTCAAACACTGGCATGAGAACGCGTCAAGTAAAGATTGGAGATTCCGCAAATATCTCGTCCACGACTTATTAGGCAGCAAAGTTCTGGGAACCTCTTGGAAAACACCAACCTGGCGCTCACGGCTGAATGTAGCGAATCTGCCGTACCTCATGGACCATCGAATGGGTAGGTCTCCAGTTCTCGTTTCACCTATCCCATGAAGGAATTCCTCTATTTATGCCCCCTTTCTTGCACGCTCAACTCCAGCTCACACATTTCTTTTCTAAAAAACGGACTTGCTAACGTATTCTTGATTGATAGGCGGGAATGCAATTATGCCTGGAGCGGGTTTTGTTACTATGGCAATAGAGGCTATATATCAGAAGCACTGCGCCTGTCTTTCTCATGGTGGAGATGATACTAACGAAATTGTACGAAATGATCTTTGCTATCGCTTTAGAAATCTTCGCTTTAGCAAAGCCCTAGTCCTTGAGGAAGGAAGGGACATGAACACCATTTTCACTTTAACAGCAGCCCCTGGTAGTGATGATTGGCACAATTTCACTATATTCACAGCCGAAGGAGAAACAGTATCAGAACATTGCTCAGGCTCAATTCGCATCCAAGATCCTGTTAACGAGCTAGCCGAGGGGGAGGACGCCCTGCCGCTAAAATCCCCCCAGGCCTCCAAGCTATGGTACAAGTCGCTTCGAGAGTTAGGGATGGATTTTGGGCCGGCTTTCCAGAGGTTTATTAAGATCGAGCCTATCACAGAAGAGCCAAGATCTAGCGCTCTGGTGTCTTTGGATCCATCAGAGGGAAAATTCAACCCCCAGTCGCAGTATCCCATCCACCCCGCAGCCCTAGACGGCTGCTTCCAAACCTCCTCTCTCATTGTAAGCCGTGGCGACCGGACCAAGGAAGGGAGCGTTCTAATACCAGGTCTCATTGACGACCTCGTTGTCAACAAGGTTCCCTCTTGCTTGCGTCAGGGACGAGCAAAGGCATTTGCGGTGTACTCAGGCCGTGGCCGCCGGGATCAACCCAAGAATTGGAAATCAAACACGACAGTATATGACGCCGAGAGCGGCCAACTGGTCATGCGAATAACTGGCATGAAGTACGCCGAACTGGACGTGGCTATCAAGCCTGACCCACACACATTCCATTCTGTTGTATGGAAACCCGATATCAGCTGTCTGACATGTGGCCAGGTGAATAACCTTGCTAAACAAGTCGACTCCAGCAAGCTTGAAACGATAATCGATCTCATTGCTTTTAAGAAACCGTCACTGCAAGTTCTTGAGCTGAATATCGAAGAATCAGACACTTCATGCCTATGGTTTGACAACGGTGATTCGCCCATGAGGGCGGCCTATTTGGGTTATTTCTTCGGTTCTACAAATGGAGAGAGTCTTTTTCATGTCGAGGCACTATACAGAGACAAGGGAGATGTATCATTTGGACTGGTTTCAACTGAAAACCCAACGCTTCATCTGCCCTCGGACATATGCTACGATCTCGTTATTATCAAAGCACCAGGTACAAGGGCCGCTGGTAGTGTGAACAAGAGGCAGGACCGTCTCCGGCCCCTTCTAAACAAGAATTCTTTCACTGTATTAGTAGATATCGAGGGCAATAGGTTTGTTTCGACTGAGGTTACCGGGCCAGGCAATCTTTATTCAAGCGGGAATCAACACCAAGACACCGATACTATCTCAACAGCTTCCCATATTTCATCATATGGTATCAGAGAGTCTTCACCCACTATAAGTTTTTTATCAGGGGTTGGACAAGTTGAACAACCATCGTCAAGCCCGGCACAGCTGAATGGCTCACAGCCCGCCATCGAGATAGCTGAGATGGATAACAGACCCTTTGCTTATCTCCTAAAAACCGGAAACAACCCTTGTCATGGAAAGTCATCTCCGTCTCCGAAGATTGTCGTTATAGCAAGTTTGTCCCCCTCATCTTCTGACAAAATTCCTCCATCTCTCCAAGCAGTATTGGAGGATTCGGGTTGGACAACCGAATACCAGATATATCCATTCCCGAAACCTGCCAGTGGTGAAATGGTGGTTATATTAGACGAACTGTGGGATCCTGTTCTGACAAAAGTCGACAGCATTCAATGGGAAGCTATAAAGACTATCATCAGCTGGGGCAGACCACTCCTCTGGGTCACCCAGGGTGCCCAGGGGAGGGTGTCAAATCCAGACAAGGCGATGGTCCATGGACTGTTCCGAGTCGCACGACAAGAAGACCCCAATGTGATTCTGACCACCTTGGATGTTCTATCAAGCACGAGCCCGGAGATGCCGTGCGCAGTCGAAAGAGTGCTAGGTTTACTCAGAGCGAGCGACGTGGTGGTGGAACATGAATACATGGAGCGCGAGGGAATCCTTCACGTTCAACGTATCATGCCCGACGATGATCTCAACCATTTCCGACGCACAGAACAGGAAGGAATGAGGCCAATCGTGAAGGGACTTCATAGCGCCAAAGTACCCGTGTCATTGAGAGTCGAACATTTAGGCACTCTTCAGAGCCTAGTGTGGTGCGAGGCGGAGACAGGCGAAGTGCTACATGTTGGTGCCGGTCTTATCGAAGTAGAGGTGATGGCTACCGGTGTCAATTTCAAGGACATAGCCATCACTATGGGTATTGTCACTGATGATAAGTACAACCTTGGATTTGAATGCGCTGGGACCGTGACGCGACTTGGGCCAGGTGCTGATAAGTTTCGGGTTGGCGACCGAGTCTGTATGCTAAGATATGGGTGTTACGCGAACCGAGTCCTGGTCCCTGTCGACCGATGCCACGTTATCCCGGATTCGATGACCTTTGTGGAAGCAGCATCCATTCCCACCACGTATCTCTGCTCACTTTACGCCATGTACCACATGGGTGAACTTCAAGAGGGTCAGGTAAGTTACAACCGGCACTTCAATGTGTATCATCCTGCTTGCAATAGAGCAAGTTGCGTGAAACTGACAAGTCGGCAGTCGGTTCTTATTCACTCAGCAGCCGGTGGCATTGGGATTACTTGTATAGAGCTAGCTCTGCACAAGAAAGCAGAGGTCAGTCATCAATCATATCAGAACCCTTCATATGGGGACTCAACTAACCCACATATCAACATAGATTTTCATCACGGTTGGAACCGAGGAGAAGCGCCAGTTCCTCGAGACCAAGTATGGCATTCCACGTAGTCATATGTTTTCCTCGCGAAATGCGGACTTTGCAGCAGGGATTATGAAGGTTACGAGAGGTCGTGGCGTCAATGTCATCCTTGATGCCTCGTGGCGAATCCTAGCTGATGGCGGCAACATGGTGGAGATTGGAAAACGAGATATCCTCGACCGCAACACCTTATCCATGGAACCGTTCGACCGAAATTGTTCCTTCCGAGCTATTGACATGTCTTATACAAAACATGTTGATGATGAATTGATTGCAAGGTGTGCAAACAGCCCGCTCCTACCCTTGACGATTGTTGGCTGTTGATCTGATTATAAATCGAACAGATTGTTTGATGAACTCTTTGTTCTTCTTAATGGAGGGAAAATCAAACCGATTGAGCCTATTACAACGTTTGGATACGACGACATGGTCAGCGCACTATCGCTTATTCGAAGTGGACGTCATCTCGGCAAGATTGTTATATCAAATGTTGAACAACAGGATGTACAACTTCCCATCCGTCCCGCAGTTCGCCGACTCTGGCTCGACCCTCATGTCTCGTATCTTATTGTTGGAGGTTTGCGAGGTGCATGCGGAACATTGGCTATCCACCTGGCACAACATGGCGCTCGACATATCATCGTCAACAACCGAACTGGCATTAGGGATGAGCTTTCTATGAGAATAGTCTCCAGATGCAAGGAGTATAGATGTGCGGTTACTGGTGCTCAGGGCGATGTTTGTGATATGAGCTTCGTTCGAGGTTTGTTCAAGTCAGCGAGCCCCAGAATCGCCGGTATTATCCAGGGTGCTATGGTCTTGAGGGTAGGTCACAACGTATTTTGTTACTCTGTAAAATCTGCGATAATATCCTAACAGATGATTATGCAGGATAAACCACTTGAGCTCATGACGCTCGATGATTATCACACAGCTATCAGCGCCAAGGTCATGGGAACCAAGAATCTCCACCAGGCATCTGAAGACATGCAGTGTTCTCTGCACTTCTTCGTTATGCTTTCCAGTACCTCCGGCATTGTTGGCAATAAGGGCCAGGGAAACTATGCAGCAGCTAACACATTCCTTGATGCTTTCGCCAGCTACCGTGAGTCCCTGGGCCTCCGGGCTAATACGGTTAACCTAGGGGTGATTCAAGATGTTGGATATGTCGCCGAGCAAGGTTCGATACTCGAGGCTCGTATCGATACACGAATGTGGACGCCAATTGGCGAGCGAATGCTGCGTAAGATCTTAACTTATTCTATACTTCAGCAGGACAACGCGGCGCCAATCAATGCCCACACCCGCACGCAGTTAATCACGGGGGTTAGCTATCTATTGCCTATCAGTAATTCTATAATAGTTCCTAGTAGGATCTATTAAAATTTAGTAAGTAAATTTTTATACTAATAAAAGGTAGAGAGTAGGATCTATTACTAAGGGTCTATTAATCTATTAGTTAGAAATTTAAATTATCTTATAAAAAATATCTATTTATTTAGTATTTAATTAATATTTCTAATATTTATATTAGAAATATTATTTATTTAGTATTTTAATAAAATTTTAATTAAAAGCTTAATTAAACTAGATTTTATTAAGATTTTTATCTATATTATTTATTATTTTTAAAACTTATTTTATTAATATATTTAATTTTAATATTATATAATCTATAATATTATACTAAATATAATAAAATTATTTATCTATTTTATTTAATATTTATTTATTATCTATAAATAATATTAATATATTTATATTAATAAAAAAATAAAATCTTATTTTTAAAATTAATATTTACTATTTATAATAATCTAAAGAAAAAAAATTAAAATAACTATATAAATTATTAATAAGTTTATATAGAATTAAAGAAAACTATATAATTATATATTATTATAATATATTATAAAACTAGTATTATATATTTCTCTATTTAAAACTAATAAACTATAATACTAAATATATTAATATATTATCTATATAGAGTAAAGAATATATATTTATTTATAGAAGAAGTATAATTAGAATAATAATTAGAAAAAAAATAATAATATTAAAAAGAAAATAATAAAAGTTTATAATTAGCTATTAATAAATAATATATATTATTAATAGTTCTTTTCTTAAAGAGCTATAAATAGTTAATTTAGAGTTAATATAGTTAAAAAGATTATTAATCTTATTAATTATTTATAATTTAAATTAATTATAAAAAGAGTATAATAACTCTTTAAAAAGAAAATAATTAAAGAGGAATATAAAATATAGATAATAATTTAAATTAAAAATAATTAATTTAAATTTAATAATTAGCTTAAGTTTATTAGCTAGATAATATATTTATAAAAGTTCTTTATTACTAAACTCTATAGTATAAAGTAAAATATTTAAAATAATAAAATAATATTATAATTAGTATAGAAAGTAATAGAATATATACTTAACTAAATATAAATAATTATAATAATTACTAAGATAAATAAAGCTATATTATTTAAAATAATTTAAATTACTTTAAAAAGAAAGTTTAATTAATTATTTAATAATAGAATAAAGAAAAATATATAGAAATAATATATAGATATATTTAGATAGCTATTATATATTATATATTATATAGATAAAATAACTAATAAGAAGTAATTACTATTTATTTTTATAATAGTATAAAATAATTATTAGAATAAATTTATTAAAACTATATTTAGTAAGTATAAATAATAAAATAATTAGTTTAATTAGAATAAATAGAATTTATATCTAATTATAATAATTAGTTAGTTTAATTATATACTAAAGGGGGATATATATTAAAATATATTAGTAAATAACTTAATTATTATAAATATCTAGAAAAATAGAGAGTAAAAATCTATATTTAATTATATATAGATTTATTTAATTATAATTAAAATAATATAAATACTTATATTATATTAGTTATACTATAAATAAGAGATATAAATAATTTAGTATTTATAAGTAATCGCGGACGCGCTGCTTCCCCCTCCGGTTTGGCGGCCTCCCCCAAACAGGCAAGGTGCGCACGCTGCCGCACCTCTGTCAGCATGATCACGTGACTCCTCCTATATAAGACGACAACATCCCTCGACGCTGCGTTGATGTATCTTTGACATTTCTTCTCTCCCACCGCTCCCCCCTTGCCTCATCTTGCCTCCGCCTCTCCCGTGATTTCCCTTCTCCCGACATGATGCCGCCTCAGCCGCTGGCCTGTTGGAATGGCAGTTCCCCTCCCGCTTGGCATCCAGAAGTGGTCACCATACTCGATGGCAGGCTGTGCGAAGCAGAATGAGGCACTCGAAGAGGAGATCTACGTTCATGTTTATTTTTTATTCTCTCGAGCTATTCCAGTCTTTTTCTGCCTTCTTTACGGGTCTCGCCTCTCTTCTGTCATCACAGGGTGCTCATAATGCCAACATTCTGACCGTGCATCTCCAAGCATCCGCTTCATGGCGCTACAAGGCCTTCAGGCAACGCATCTCACGGCAACACTTCTTCCTGGGAGGCCTCCGACAAACAACCAGCCAATGGCAGAAATGCCGCAGTGGCTTATCAGAACACCTGACGCACGACGGAGTGGACGGTGTCCGAGTCATCGCCCTGCTCGGGGGCTGCCAGGGGATCAGCAGCAGCAAAGTCGTGAGGATGGCATGAGGATGGTCCGCTTCTGGCATGGCGCAGGGCCTCAGCTTCCGCGTCGTGCTGACTGACGTGTCACTGCTGTACAGTCGGCCGCCGTTCTGCTACAAGACGAGGGCGGCTGATGCAAAAGGGGTGAGAGTCCCGGTCAGCTCTACATGGCTGGCCGCCTTATCCCTGACTCAGCCAGTAGCAGAAATGCCGCAATGCGTATCAACAGCCCCAATGGCATAATGGAGTACGGTGCTATCTCGGGCTGATCGTTTAATATCGAGCGCAGTTGTTCCAGGGGCATCTGGGACGAAGATGCTCCCCGATTGGCTCGCAGAGAGTGGGCGGAGACTGCAAAGTGGGAGGCCATGATGCAGTTGGTCGCCATCTCCTTGTTCAGGGGCCCTCTCCACGCTCAGGGGGCGGTTAGACGCACCCACCGCTGAGAAACAACCTTCCTTCGATTACTACCTGCTCTTCCTGGGCTCGGCTGCTACTGTGCCGCTCGCGATGGCTCAGCGGTTGCGATGACGTTGGAGGCCAGCATGATAATCAGTTGACGTAAAGCTGACTCGGTTATGGCGCAAAAACTGGTGCTCCCCTGTCAAGCTGAGTTTACTTATGCTGTCACACGATCACTCTTTAGTCACAACGCAGGATGGACTGATACGAGAGAGGGGAGATGAGCGTTGAACAGAGTCGGCGGCCCGCTCATCGCCCCGGCGTTTCTGTTCTCCTTCCCCTATTCCCTGCTGGTTGCTCATGGAGGGTCGCGTGGATGCAAGGCAACATATGTCTGGGGCAAAGATCGGGACTTGAAGGGGAAAGGGGCAGCGAGTTGCATCCTTTCAGGCAACAGCTTCACGACCTTTTGCATGCGTGACGCAGTCCGGCGGAACGCCCATGAACTTTTGAGGTAGCGCCGAGATTTTGATACTCTGCCAAGAAGGGCGGGAACCTATCAAGTATGTGAGAGGCCCACGGAGATGCCGACTGCATTCTCAACCACGCAAGTGGATCCCCGTTGAGACGCCGGCTGTGGTGCTTCTCTGTTACAGTGCGTCAGATATGGCCAAGTAGCTTCATGATTGGCGGACCTGGTAGGGTGTGCGCCGCTCGGATACGAATCTCTGTAAGAATCCGAGAGCACATTCGCGAGGAGGCGAGAGCAAGGGCAAGGGAAAGGGGGAAGGCGCGTGATAGGGGGTGAGACTAGCAATTTTTGCCTATATAAGGCGCCCGATGCCCTCTGCAAACGAGAGTCCCGAGAGCACGCTCGCAAAGCCTTCTTTTTCTCTATCATTACCATGGGATCCCTGATAAATCTTGACAAAATGGTCACCTGGACTCCTCCAGCTGCTGGTGGTTCGGAGCGCACCAGTCAGACGAAACATATAAATGCTATTTCCCACCCAGGACCTTCCTTCCAGCCACCTTCTACGTCGGCTCCCCGCGATCAACTAGCTCATGAGCCAATCTGCATCTCATCTGATGATGAGAGTGCATCTGACGCAGACGAAGAAGCTAGTTGCGACGGCTCTCAGGATATGGATGACTCAAGGTCGGATGATACACTTCCGTCTATCGATTCAATCATCGCATCTATTAAGAAGAGCTCGTCTGATATATCCCCCACTAGTAAGTTGTTAAGGCATTTCTTTTACCGCAGCGTCCAGGCGTACCTAATAATGTTGCCAGGGTCTCTCATCGCCAAGCAACCACAGGCACTTGATACCGATACTGGTCTGTCAAGCCTGGAGGCAGCAACAGGTCCAGACATGTTGCTTTCTTATCCACCAACTGCTCCGCAGGCAGGTAGTGCAGAGCAGAGTCATGCGTCGAATAGCCGTGGCTGTGTTGACCTAGTCACCATGGGCAAGGCTGGGACAACAGGCCACCCTCTGAAGATACGAGAGGTTTCCTGTCCACCACCATCTCTTCTTAGTGAGCCAGATGCACAATGCGACCGTTCTGAGAGCTGTAGAGCATCTGATGCTAAAGCCACGGCGCCTCAGCATGCGATAGAGCAGACACAAGACGATTCACAGAGCATCGGTCACGCACTGAGAAGCTGTCCGGAAGAATGCTCCGATTCTCAATCCACCTCACAGGCCAGCTCCAACTCCGACGGCCCTCGGCGGCAGCGAGAGGAGGACAGTCTCATATCCTCCGCCTCACTATCGCTGTACATCCGGGAAGAAGAGAAAGAGCGCAGCGACACGGACAAGGCTATCAACGACAACATCAGCCAGCCCCTGGTACAGCTTCGCCGCAAGGGAACACGCAAGGACTGCTCTACTCCGGAGCAAGACCCGGCCTCCAACTGCGATTCTGATTCTGATGTCAGCTCAATCTCTAGTTCTGAAGCTCCTGTACGGGGCGACGAGGATTACTGCCCCTCCCCAAGCCGTGGTGAAGGGGAGCAGGCAAACAATGATTTAGTTGATGATGAAGCGGACAGTTCTGGCCAGGCCCCTCCATGCAAACGTCGGAAGGTGGGAGGGTCTCAGTTCAGCCCCAGACCCCGTCACAGGGGGCGACGCCTTACCAATCGTACACGTACAGCCAATAGATCAGGACTACATACGCCGGCCCATAGTGCCAGCTCGGTGTCATCGCATGACTCATTCGTCGGAGCCGATGCCGAAATGCCAGCTGCAAGGTTTGAGGAATGGCCTTTACAAGGGGCCACGCTCAAACGCTTGTTCGTGGACGGCAAAGTGACCTTCCAACTAGAGTTCGGCTGGGAGCCGTGTGCCAGTGGCCATGCGCCAGGCTCCCAGAGCGCCAATGGGTTTCATACTCACATAGCGAAGAGGCCGCATCGAACCCCGCGAAGCCCAGCCAGTCATACTTTCACCCGTGAGGAGGAGGATCTCATTGTCAAATTAAAGGAAGAGCAGCAGCTTCCATGGCCGGAAATCCATAAACAGTTCTGTGATGAATTTCCACAACGACGATCTCAGGGAAGTCTTCAGGTTCGCTACTGTACACGGCTAAAGAAGAGGAGTGGCAAATGGGCTACAAGTAAGTCTAGGTAGAGTCAGGCCACTATATTTTCACATCAGTCAAGATACTCATTAGATGTTCCCTAAGCGAATAGTGCTTTTGTGATATTGAACCCAAACTTAATTACAGCTATTCATTCAGTCCCAAACCAGCTCACTATCCTAGGTCATTCCTCGTCACCGGGGTCTCGCTCTTCATTACCTTCGCGCTACCTCCACTTCTTTCCCACGACATCCTTAACCACCACGTCGACCTCTCCGCAAGGTTCTGCACCTCCTCATGCTCTAACAACTTAGAGCGCCCTACACTCCCCGGAATGTGCACAATATGCGATAAGTCACACACTCACGTGATCAGGGTCGGCAAGGCTTGGCACGCATATAGGGTATCACGTGAGCCGGATATCTTTAATTGCTTTCATTCATTACAGTTTCTTCATGAATTCCCATTGACTTGAAGAGGGTCCCTGCTGACCAGTGTCAGAAGACATCCAGAGGACCAGGCTGTCACGGAGGTGTATGATAGCGATGCTCTCGTTATTAGGGATCATAAATTCATAAGTATCAGCCACCTATCTCATGTCTAAATCTCTTGTGACGTTACTGTCTGGACCTTACCAATGTACATTTTAGTAATCAAGCTTGTCCTCACATTGTAGCCAGCACACCAATCAAAGGCGGCACATTGTGAGAAGCTCAGTCAGAAATCAGCCCATGGAAGCGCCTCGGCCTTGAAACGCACCAGCTCGGGCTTGTAGGCCAGAAAAAACAGCCGCATATGAGAGTCAAAGCACGCAGGGTTTCGGCCGATCAAGGCTAGAATCTCGTTGAGGAGATACCACGTAGGAGCCAAGGAGCCATTTCCAGAATCAGAAGTTGCTTAAGGAGTTTGAGGATAGTTATCGTGGCTATAACGACGGAGTTAATGTTATCGACACCGGAACTATGTCTGGGATTCGTCAATATCTACTACATTGCTAGGCCGCCTATCTGATGAGGACTCGTGGGTGTCCGAAGAGCTGATCAGGCCGAGTCGGATCGACAGTGAGAGAAAGAAAAGAGGGGAATATGGGGAAACCGGGTTGGGTGAATCTTGATGTCGGATATGGATGATGGTTTATGGCGGAGGGCCAATTATATGTTGGTTATGAGGTTTAGAAGCACTGATGGCAATTCGGCTGAGGTACAAGAAGATGGCTTGGATCCATTTTTGGGCGGGCAGTACTAGGACTCGCTGAAGCTGCGGGTCAACCCGGGAGCCTAAACAGGCACCACTTCATCAAGAGTGGCCGCCAGCTCGTCGCCGATGTGATCAGGGAGCGGCTGGGGCCCCTACGCAGTGCACTGTATGAATTGCATGAACTCGGCTTTGCGCACAACGACGTCACGCCAGCCAACCTCAGCTGGACAATAATGACGGATTCAGCGCTGAATCACGTGATAAGCCGAGGCGTAAAGTTGCGGGCCACACGCCACGACCGTTGCTACTGATCACATGACGTACCAACCATTTTCTGGAGTGCAAACTCTCCTCTGCTGTCTCACTACCCAGCCACTTAGTTAAGCAACCTGGCTGGGGAGACCTAAGCTTTAAAAAGGCACCGGACCGCAACTCCCACAAACTTTCCCATCTTCTTCTTAACTCTACCGCTTAGAGTTGAATTGAATCCCTTTTTCTCTATCTACATGGCCGAAATGCCAGAGAGTCAGGTAGCCCTGGAAAGGATACCAGGGCGAGATTTTATTGGCTCGACGGCTCTCTTCTTCCGCGTTAAGCCGGGTATCTTGTTAAAAGCTCCGGTGACTCTCTTGAAAGATCAGATCATACGAGAGCGAACAAGTGTACTCAATAGCTACCGTACCGAGCGGCTTATTCTAGAGAGGCTGGGGAATCACCCTCGAATTATTGAGTATGTATTTTCTACTATATCTTTTCACTCTTGCTAACCTTATCAAGATACTTAGGTTGGCAAACCGAGTTTCCGACTGGCTTGCTTTTCACTGAAGCGACTTGTAATCTCCAGCGATTCCTTGACGATCATTATGATCAAATGAATCCTACCTTGATGAAAAAATGGTTCACACAGATTGTTGCCTCCATCGCCTACATTCATAGCCACGGTGTTTTCCACTGCGATTTGCGACCTGATAATTTCCTTCTCTCTGGTGAACCATCACAGCCTGACCTCCGCCTCTGCGACTTTGGTGGATCTACATGCTCTCAACTCCAAATATATGGTACAAAACTCCCTGATTCTGGGTTTTTTAATCCTAGCTTAACTACAAGCGAGCCTGCCCTTATCGATATATTCAGCCTAGGTTCTATTCTCTACACAATCACTACTGGCCACTGGCCATTTCGTGGGCCTGGTGGATACTTTGATTCATTTGAGGCAATGGAGGAGTATGAGACTTATGTTGATACACAATTCTCACAAGGCATTTTTCCTGAGGTACAGGGTCTTTATGGAGAAGAAATCATTCTTGGCTGTTGGAGAAATGAGTTCTCAAATGTAGATAACATCGCGGATCTGGTGGATATTCTTCCATAAGACCCCTAAGTATAACCAGTGTTCCACCTATGATGCTGGCGGCTTCATCTTCTGTTAGTAATAAATATGTTCAAAATTTGAATCACGCTCCTTACATCAGGGTTCCTGCAACCATATTTACCGCACTTAGTTCTCTCCCTCTTTGACGCAAGCGGCGCTCGTTTCACCGTATGGCCGGCCGCGGTTACATTACCGCAATTGTCGAATAATGTATCCTCCGATTCAGAATCACCGCAAGTGTATATTTTCGTGGTATAGTATTGGGTGCACATCTTCAATATTGTTGATAAACAATCTGTAAATTTGTTAAAGCCCATCGAATGTTTGATTGTAGGGGGGATTCGTCGGAATTTTATAGCCGGTGGCACGAATTTTGAACGCAACTGAACCCTAAAACACACTGTTAGGATGCCCATTTCTTAGAGTTGGCGGTGTGCCGATAATGGTGTCATGGTGCAGCCATTCCAGCTGTCAGCTTCACTTTCCGTGCTGACTGCTCATTATTACTATCCACCGGCAAAAGGCTTGTCGCTGAGAGTCTTTCCCCCTGGAAAAATTAATCGGTTAATGACCCAGCTGAGAAAAGACCTCTGTGAGCTATCATCGTTAATTCCTGTTTATCCTGTCTGTGTCATGGGAACGAAGCACAGAGGAGTGGGGAATGTGCCTAAACAACTGCCATTTATCCTTGTAGGTGGCTCATGGTCCACCACCTATGAGTTGATTTTGGGACGTGGGTTCCTACATCGGTCGTTTTAGGATGATTGAATGGCGGGAAACGATTGTTTCCGCAATCGCATTGTGGATATTGACCGTTTACCCAGTACGGAACCCGTCTTCCTTCCTTTTCCTAACGATCTCATAGCTATCCGAGAACTTCTCCCTCGATGCTAGTCACGCGGCTCACACCAACGCGATGCCAACCACCGTTGCTTACATACCGGGGCGTCCACTGAATAGAATTGTCCTTATACCTAGGCACGGTCAAGCTGGATCTTTGGCTCCAGCTTATGACTCATTAATGTGGGTCGAGTAGCATTGTGGGTACGAAACCAATGCGCTAAGATACTGAGCCGTGAGCCGTGAGCCATGACCCATGGCCCATGAGCCGTGAGCCATAACCCATGAGCCGTGAGCCATAACCCATGACCCAAGCCAAGAGCCAAGAGCCAAGAGCCATGAGCCCATAAGTCGTGAGCCAACGCACCAAATTGAGTGCTGTCTCGCGTGTTGGCTAACTGCGGCATAATGACTGGGCCATCAATATTCCCCATGTAGTGACGTGATTTTAATCCATTTTCTAAATTCCGTTGTATTTCCGTGCCCAAGTAGGCCAAGCAATGACGAGCAATATGTTAGTCACGGTTTATTAGTCAGCGAAAGATACAAGCTACCATATTCCTCCAGTACAATCTTCTACGGCCTTGGTTATTCTTGATGACAAGCCCGAAGAGAGTTTACCCTGCCCACTGGCTCGATGCTCATTGGTGCCAATTAGTGCCAATGGCAATGCTACAGCGAACCCCACCCAACGAAAGCCATGTCCTGCCGCCTTCTCTTCTTCCCTCCACAGATGGTACAAGCGAAACCACCATTCTCTCCAGAGCCACCACACATGTCACAACCAGTCATGATGCTTCCTCGATGGCTGTCACGGATTTGATCTAACCACGGGTAAGAAATGATTTGAAAGCCAAGGGACCCGTTTTACGAACCTTGAAGCAATGTTGATTCACGATAAATATCAAAACAGTAGAATTGGTGGCCTGGATGGCCTGGACTTAATTGAGGGGAGGAGTGATCTCATCTCTCAAAATTTTGAACTTCCCGTGAGCTATATAGCCGCTGACCATGTGGCGAAGGCGGCCATGTGACCAGCCCCTCTTAGTCATAACTGTGTAGCTCTAACCGAGCCCCACTTGGGTATCTGCGCTTGAATTTGAAGAGCAAACCCAGTTTTGTTTTCCCTCATCCTTGAATCCAGTGAACGAAAGTATGCCATGCCTTCAACAGTATGTAGCATCTGTCATAAGTGTTTCGATAATGGTGCAGCTTTTCAGGACCACCTTCGCACCCTCCAGGTTTCCACCCTCTCCCCAGCAATTCTACCTATCATGCCTAACTTTTCATAGCATCGTGCCTCAATTTTGCTGCGGGAACTTCAAGAATGTATGCAGCATATTTCTGCCCAACCTCGTCCAACCGATACATGCCCAATCGATACATGCTCGACCGATACATGCCCGACCGATACATGCCCGACCGATACATGCCCGACCGATACATGCCCAACTCCTGTTTCCTACTCAACCAAGGAAGACGAGCCCGACCTCTACAGATATGATGTGTACTTGTGCTGTCATCCCGAATGCCACGGAAAAGAGAAAACACCGTTCAAGCGACGTAAGGATTTAGTGAGGCATTTTGAGACACGTATGAGACAACTTTTCCGTTGAATTCCATGAAGCTTATTTTGTAATCGAGGTACAGACGTGGAATGCGAAGAGCAATGCTTGTTCTGCAAAGTGCCGATATCTCGAGTTCGAAGGTACATCTCACATTATGACGTCTGCAAGACCCGGCTTCGCCAACTGCAGGATGGATCGATTGCACCTAGAAAGTCTCAAAAGGCAGTTCAGAAGCGAGCGGAGCTACACAATCGTGCCGTTTCCCAACTACAAGAGATGCTCAGCTCGGTTGCTCCCGGGACAGTCAACCGAAGGAAGCGAAAAGCAGTTGATAATGTGGGTGCTTCAACAAGACGAAGAAGCTACGACATTAGCGCAACATTCCAACAGAAATCAAGATCGGATTATGAGCGAGGAAATGAGATGACGTCATCATTAGGTCAGTTTTTCATTGGATTGTCCATTCTTATTCTAATCATCTCTAGACAAGTTTGCTCCTGTTGGCTTTGAAGGAGCTAAATTACATGAGGCGCTTGGCTGCGGCAGCAACAACATAACCCACCCCTCTTCCGTGGATCAAAACTTCGAAGGACTCAGCACTGATTGCACGACCATTGCCCCACTGAATTCGACTCCGATCAGAAACCAGGCATCCGTAGAGTATGAGGGCGTTCGATGGGATGGCGAAATCCCTAGCGACACTGGCTTGGCTGACTCTTCCCTGCTAGCCCGAGCGCCCGTAGTCATGACTTATACCATGGACGAGCCATATTATGTCACGTGTGAATTTCAGTCTCAAGGATTGGGGATAAACTATTGCAATCCTGCTGAAAGGTCAGAGTCGAGTCAAGCACCTAGCAATCCTAGGCTTGAAGTAGAGTTCGGCGGCCCATAGTGTTAATGCGTTCTGTTGCTGTCTCTAGGTTCTTTGAATTCGAAATTTGTTCCAATTTTATTGCTCTGTGTCTGCATCTCCCTCACAATTTCTTGGAGCTCAACCAGTTTGGGCAGGGTCATCTTGGCCCAATGCTGAAGCTCATCGGGCGCGACAAATCCGAGAAAAATGGCTTGGCCGCTCATGATCCGAAACCCAACTCGTCCATCTAAGATAGATCTCCTTGATGTCAGCGTTGTGGCTAATGTTAACACAAGAAAATAGTAGCATACAATCCACCCTTGTCCAGGTTCACATTCACTCTTGTAATTTCGGGGATTGCGAGTTTGTCAGGAGGGATCCTTAATAAGCCAATCGGGGCCTTATTGGCGTTGAGTAGGTACTTGTGCGAGCAAGAGTGAAAAGCCACGGAAGAATCGCTCGCCCAAAGAATAACGATGAGAACCCGTAGCTCCGAGTGCAATCGATTTAGGATGCAGTAGTCGTCATCGCCTGGGCCGTACGATTTGAAAAGACCTAAAGAGCATTGTTCAAAGAGGGACTCGATAATGTCTCGAACTTGCTTCAAAGGGTTAGCATAGTCTACTCTGGCGGGTTGATTATATACCTCGTTTTGAAATGTGTTGACCTTGGCGAATGTCAAACCTGGCTTATTTTTGAAGTAGTAGCCAACCTTTGCTAATATTGCATCGACTCTCCGTCCCAGCTCGGCATCTTTTTGATAGAAATAACCTAACTGTTTGATAGACTGAATTGGGTCGTCTTGTAATGAAGCCATGGTGGTATCTGGAGACTGTAATCTCGTTGAGCAGTTTAGAAATTCTTGTGAGAAATGGGCGGTGAGAACTGGCAAAATCATCTCTACCAGAAGGGTATGACTAATCACCTAATGATGTTCTAGGCACCAATCACCCCCATCATATGATGCACTGTCCTATTACGGGTAGAGTATTATCACGTGATATGACGCATCAAGCCAATTCTATCATTGAGCTCATCGCAAGCTGATGTCAACGTGTAAGGGGCCTCTGATTAGTCTACTCACCACATTGAGGGCACGCTTGGTTATTGATATTTACACGGTATTCATAACTAAAGTCAGATCTAATCGTACAGAGACAAGCTACCCATAGCAGCTCATAGGTAACAATTGCACCGTTAAATTCAATATATATATTATTGAAAAATAAAGCTGATGTTCTTCAAACCCTCTATCGTACTAAGAAGCAGAGATTGTAATCAGGTGTGGATCAAGGTCTCCAGTCGCCACTTCACAGCTCAGGACGGGGTGGATCTAAAGAAAGGCGGAAGATCCTCGGCGGTACAGAAGGACACGTCCACATCACAAGGAGTAATGCTTATAAGATCTCATCAGATCAGCCTTAAAGGTTGGCGATACATCGCCAGACTTCAATCAGGAGTCGTCCAACCAAACGCCATGAGTTATCTTTTTGATCCTTGGAAAGTTCGATATCGGACCGCAGAGAGCACCACATACCCTCATCATCGTATCGCTCGAGGAGTAATGAAGCGATAGCCGCTAAAGGGGTAGTGCTACGATGAAGTATCGAGGCAAAACGGAGCCACCGAGCCACTGAGCCACTGAGCCAATGAGCCAGGAGCCAATGAGCCAGGAGCCAATGAGCCATGAGCCATGAGCCAATGAGCCAGGAGCCAATGAGCCATGAGCCATGAGCCAATGAGCCAATGAGCCAATGAGCCAATGAGCCAATGAGCCAATGAGCCGTGAGCCAACGAGCCAATGAGATTAAATCGCAGTCCTTCCGACGAGACCAACTATCTGCTCTCACAGGAAATTGCAGATCTACAGGGGCACAAGAACTGAGGTCCAATAGGATGTAGTTGCGATACCCACGGCCTACCGTATCCTAGTTTCGGCCGAGTTTCTTTCTATGCATCAAATTTCAACAATTGTTATGATACTCCTCGCGGATACAGGTAGTTGCAGTTGGAGGAACAAATAACACGACCTTTATTGGCAACCAGTCTATATCACGGTCTACGTGCATCTCCCGCAAGGTTGTCAATTGGATCACAAAAGCCCCGGGCGTATCCGCTTTTGGTTCATACCCCCTATGTTACCAATGAATTGCCCATTATTACTTAGATCGGATGAGTTTACTCTAGCCCAACCACCTTAGATAGTTGCTGCAGATGAACGTAATGAGGTCCAACAGTTCATTTACCGAAATGGATGCTTGCATCAGCTGCGCGTAGTCTGGCCGCATCAGATGTGACCTGCATGATAGCACTAGTGAACTAAGCACCAACATGCATCCTAGTTGATCAATGTCCAATGATGCTTGTAAGTGGCAGGCAATTAGTGGTAACGCCTCGTCAGACCAAATCCGATGACGGAAGGTTGAATCGGAGATTGGGATGCGATGGGTAAGTGAGAGAACCATAAGAAGGCGGGATTCCCACGAGAGGAGATCATATTTATTCTGATGTAGGTCTACCCTTCCAGGAATTCAAGTCGTGAGCCGAAGCGTCGCAAGATCCACTTCAGTTCCTTCATATTCAATCTATATTGCCATCGTCTCCTTCCTCTTATTATTATAGTCTCTATTATACGATCATGACACTCCTCAGCAACATCAGCCCGCCTCTCATCCAAGAGGCACTGTCCCAGCCGATGTCTCTTCTGGACCTCTTCCTTCCTGGTTTCTCAAACATCACCAATGCTGCCAGTCAGGTCCTGAATGGCAACATGTCTGGCTACACCCAGCTAATGTGCCTCTTTGCACTGGCTGCGTTGTTGAAACCATATGTATTTCGATTCATAGATTGGTTCATTGATCACTTCAGTAAGTCATAAGAAACACAATCACAGGACCCGGGCTCACCTCTACAAGCATCGACTCTCCGGATCAAACGCTATGATGAAACATACGACATGATCCAAGCGTGGGTCTCAGCCCATGGACTGGAGGATGCCGCTCGTTCCATTCGTGCCAAAGTCAACAAGAAACAAAGAACTCGTGATGCCCGCACTAAAAAGCCGCTCCAGTATGCCCCATGGGAAGGGGCTTTCTACTTCTGGTACGGGAAGAATTTGCTTTCGTACCAAACTACACAGGTGGATGTCGGCCTTCGCAAGGAGGAACAGATCTCCATCACTTGTGTCGGACGATCTTCGCAAATCCTGAAATGTCTTATGGAAGACTGCCGACGTGAATATCTCGATGGATTGAAGAATAAAACAACTATCTATGCACATCGCGAAAATCACTGGATAAAAGAAAAGGCGGTGGTTGCTCGACCTCTTGCAACCGTCATACTCGATGAAGAGCAAAAGGGTCAACTCATCAATGATATCAACAAATTCCTCGACCCAGAAACCAAAAAACGGTATTCCGATCACTCGATCCCCTACAAACGAGGATATCTTCTACATGGACCTCCTGGAACCGGAAAGACAAGCTTCAGCCTATCTATTGCCGGCGCATTGGATATGGATATCTACGTCGTCAGCATCCCTAGCATGAACGATGAAA